TGTTTTTAGGGTTAAAAACTCAAAAGACGGGGGTTGGGGGGGGGGGAGGGAGCTGTGCGGGAGGGGAGATGCTTCAAATATTAGATCGCAAGAAAATAGATTGTGGGGTCATTGTGGGGTGGGGCATGGGGTGGGGGACTTTGACTTGCTTAGTGAAAGCCCAAAGGATGATGTATCTGAGGAATCCTTTGGGGCAAACGGCCCATCAGATGGTGCTGCAGGGTGTTGCAGTGTCATCTGGGAGCCTGACTTCATGGACATCTGGAGTGCCGTTCCTTCCCGGGTTCATCCCTCCTTCCTTGCAGCCGGTCTCCCCTTTTCCCTCCTCTTCATTTATTTTTTTTTTTTTTCCCCCCTTCTCCTTGTTAGGGATAGTGCCAGTTTTTAACCACATCATCCTTTGTTTAAAGGAAAATAAAAAAAACCCAACATTAATTGTATCAGACCCAGATGGAAAAAAAAAAAAAAAAACTTGATAAAGTTTCAAAAACAACACCACCAACTTGTATATTTGGCTGATTAAAATGTAAATTATCATAACTGCTCTCTGCTTGTCTCGTGTGTGTGTGTGAGTGAAGGTGAGGGTACAGGTTGCTGCGGAGGCGCAGGAAATGGTGCAGTGACTCCTGGAATTTGGCTGGAGGTTGAGGAGCTTCCTCTGCAGACACCGCCTGAAGGCACAAAGCTCTCCCTGCTGTCTCTGATGGACGCCTTGCACAACCTGGTTACCACAGAGGAGAAGACAGTTGCCCTCAGGCTGCTGTCTGACCTGGCTGTGTCAGACGGCTGGTCCCCAAACCATCACCCTTGCCAGCCCCTCCTTTTACCTGAAGGGGGGTGTAGAGAAGCGGGGGTCGGTCTCGTCTCCCAAGTCACAGGAGATAGGACAAGGGGAAATGGCCTCAAGTTGTGCCAGGGGAGGTTTAGATTGGAGATTAGGAAACATTTCTTCATGGAAAGGGTTATCCAGCACTGGAACAGGCTGCCCAGGGAAGTGGTTAAGGCACCATCCCTGGAGGTGTTCAACAGTCGGGTTGATACGGTCCTCAAGAATATGGTTTAGTGATTATTATTTTTTTTTTAATTGCTTATTTCTTATTTTTTGTCAGAGTTAGGTTGATGGTTGGACTAGATGATCTTTAAGGTCCCTTCCAACCTAGATGATTCTATGATTCCTCTCTCCCAGCGCAGGGCTGTGGAGCAGGAGATGCTCTAACCCCACTGCGCCCCAGGAGTCCTGCTGTCACCCCATGCCAGGGACACCGGCACTTCCCGGACTCCCTGACCAAAGGCTGGAGGAGAATCAGCCCCGGAGCCGAGACGGAGAGGTCCTGGTGGCAGAGATGGGGGATGACAAATGCTGTGATTAGTTCTGTGTCATCCTGGCTGGAGATATGAGGGTGCAATGGGGGGATTTGCCATGGGGGTTGTCACTCTGAGCTGCCTGGTCAATGTGTGATGGCAACGTGCTCTCCTGGTGGTGGCCTGGTGTCAGGGAGGAGCAACATTGGAAACCCTGTCACCTCCATCCTCACCCTGACCTTGTCTCTCATACCAATCCTGGCTTGAAACCCTGCTGAAGCGGGGAACAGGGTGGTGACATTCCCCTTATCATGGAATCACCCCCACGGTCCTGATTCATCCTCAGAGCTGGCAGCAGAAAGGACATGACCATCTCTGGTGAGACACAGCACGGCTGACGTGCTCTAATTGTGCCCGTGTTTACATTAAACTACTTTTAAAAAAAGCCAAAAAGCCAAAAAAAAATCATTTGACTTATACAGGAAAATCCTTACTTTATTCTTTTAATTTCTTTAAGCGATGTATGACCAGCATAAGGCAGGGTGGTAACAAAAATAGTTAAAAAAAAAAGACTTTTTTTTGTCAGAGAGCAGCCGCCGGGGCTGGCTGGCAGCCGGGGGAGCCGCTGGTGGCATCGCGG